GGAAGGGCGCGGGGCCAGGCTTTAATTTTGCTTTTTCTTCCTGTCTTTTAGGGCCGACTTCTGCTCCTTTCTCGGCCTCTTTGTCTGTCTTTACTTAGTGCGGTTACCGAGGCCTGACCCCCGGGCCTGGTTTTGTTCCAGCCTGGCACTCTACCGTGCCCCAGTCCTGGCTTTGTGGTGGCTAAAGGCACATGAAAGCCTACAGGACTTTCATACCCAGGCTGGCCTTGAACCTCCGTCCTCTGATCTTGGCCTTCCTGAGTAGCTAGGATGACAGGCGTGAGCCACTGGTGGTGGCCAGACTTAGCTAGCTCCCTTTGGCTGCCCTGGTTCCAAGTTCTCTGCATGTGACCCAGCCTCTCACCTGGTTATGAGGGTCGTGGGCAGGGGTGGGCAGGGGTGGACAGGGGCAGGTGGCAGTGCCCACAGGGGACCGGATGTCTTCAGAGCACCCACACGTCCTCCCTCCCTGCCAGAGCCCACAAGCGGTTTTGTGAGCTGCTCCCCAGGGAGCATGTGAGCGTGGAGGAGTCCCTGCAGGCCCGGGTGTCCCTGGAGCAGATCCTCAGTCTTCCAGAACTCAAGGTACCAAGCCACGCCCACCCCTGCTGCTGGGGCCCGGACATCCGGCCCTGGAGTTGACATCACTGGTCCCCCATTCTGGTCTTTTTACCCGCTGGGCCCTGATTTCCTGGCATCAACTTATCAAAGTACCCTGCAGGATTATCTAGAATGGTGCTTTTCAGAAAAGTGTTGTCCTTTTGAGGAACTGAGTGACTCATGAGGGTCTGGGAGACCTGCCGCCCAGGCGGCGAAGTTCCCCCTCAGAGCCCTGGCCCAGTGCCTGTTACAGGTGTCAAGTGTGTTTTAAAACAGCCAGCCGGTCTTGTTGCCTTTGCATAGGTGCCTTCCTCTCCCCACTCTGACCCACCTAGGTTGAATATTTCTTTTCTGGGGGTGGTCATGGGGTTTGAACTCAGGGCCAAGCATGCTGCCACTGAGCCACATCTCCAAGCCACAGCTTTGGTGATTGAACTGGAAGCCCCACGTCATTTGCTAGGCCAGCAGCCGCACCAAGTGAGCCATACCTTAGTCCTCTTTACTTTTAGAGTCTCACACTTTTGCCCTCAGCTACCTTTGGACCTCTGCCCTCCCATAGCTGGGACCACAGGCATGCGCTACCACACCTAGGTTGTATATGCTTTTGACTTATATGCCCAGGAAGCCGTTCCTGCCCATTCGCCAGCGGACTGGGCTGGCCCTCAAGTGCCCCCTGACTTCCATCCTGGCCTAAAGGCCTCATCCCTCTGAGCCTGAGCTCTCTCGAGTTGCCAGTGGGGTTTGCTGAGCCTCTGACCAGGCTGTATGCGGTGACCTTCCCTGTGACCGTCACCAAGTTCTCTCACCTAGGCCAATCCCTTCAAGGAGAGAATCTGCAAGGTCTTCTCCACCTCCCCCACCAGAGACAGCCTCAGCTTCGAGGACTTCCTGGACCTCCTGAGCGTGTTCAGTGACACAGCGACGCCAGACATCAAGTCCCACTACGCCTTCCGCATCTTCGGTGAGTGCCGGGCCTCCCCACGGCTTCGAGACCGCCATGCGTGGACACCGGGCACTCCTGACTTCTCTCTGGCCGCCTGTGCCCTCTCTGCAGACTTCGATGATGACGGGACCCTGGACCGGGAAGACCTGAGCCGGCTTGTGAACTGCCTCACCGGGGAGGGGGAGGACACGCGGCTCAGCGCAGTGGAGATGAAGCAGCTCATCGACAACGTGAGTGGTGGCATGGGGGGGCTCACTGGCCCGGGGGGTGAGCGGGGTCACCGGGGCTCTGGTTACAACTTCCCCTCTCCCAGATCCTGGAAGAGTCAGACATCGATCGGGATGGGACCATCAATCTCTCCGAGTTCCAGCACGTTATCTCCCGTTCTCCGGACTTTGCCAGGTGGGCATTCTGGGTGCTCAGGGGTCTTCGCCCACCATAGAAGATGGTACCGGGGCGACAGTCCCTGCTTGTGTCCCAGGGCGAAGGGGACACAGCCCGTACCAGAAGGGAGAGGGCGTAGTCCCTACCATCCGCAAACTCAACGTGGGCTGCAGCTGCGGGGGCTGGGGGCTGGTGCCCACGGCCTGACCCACACTCCTCTCTTGCAGCTCCTTTAAAATTGTCCTGTGACACCGCGGTCCCTGCCCCGTCCAGGACCGCGCCTGCTGCCCTGCCGGTACGCCTGTGAGGTGCAGGCTACCCTGGCCGGCCCTGCCCGGAGCTGCCACAGCGGTTAGCCCCTGACAGGTGGAGACCCCCCCCGTCCCCCCCCAGCCATCGGTGTGCTTCTGCTATGAATAATAAAGCATGAGGAGTGTGACGCACTGTGGAGAGGGCTGGACTTTGATCACGTCGAGGGAGAAAGTCACAATCAAGAGGGACCAGCAGGACACCAAACCATCCCCGCCTCCCCCAAATACTAAAGTGGAATGGGGCTGGCGGACGGGGGAGCGGCGCCGGCACGTGCGCGGCGCCCGGGTCCCGGAAGCCCTCCCCGGGAGGACGGGTGGGGAGCTTCCCCGGACAGCGGGCCGCGGGAACCGGGCAGGTGCCCCTCAGCGGACCCCGCTCGGGACTGCGACCGCCCCTCACTGCAGGCCGGGCCGGACTCACCGCCGGACACGTCCCGCAGCCGCTCTTCCGAACGTCCCGAGGTCGCGGCGCCCTTGGCGCAGGCGTAGTCGGTACCACGCACGCGGCGCACGCGCCACGCCCAAGGGAGGCGTGGCCAGATCCATAGGCTCCGCCCGGGAGCGTTTGGCCCCGCCCCCAGCGTGCATGGGCGGGGCTTGGCGCCTAGGCTCCGCCCCGGCGCCTCCGGCCCCGCCTCCAGCGGGCTGGGACTGCG